GTCTTCTTTTGCTTCAGGCGGTCCACGCCCTCCTTGCTGGTAGTGGGCATGATCTTGCCGTCAATTCCCAGGTTTCGGCGCCAGAAACTGTAATAATTACTAGCTTTCTTGTTTTGCTACCAGACCATGTCTAACTATCTTTAGCTCGTCGGAAGTCAGGAAAGCGCACCAGCACACATCTTTTCGGCTTCGACTCACAGAAAAGACTCCTTTATTTTCTCAAACTTCAACAAGATGCTGGCGGAAAGGGAAACCCCCGAAGAGGCGAGTGACCCAAGCTGCTCAAGGCCGCCCGGGAAAGTGCTGGGGGCGAGGGGGACACTTCTTGAGCACATAGGAGCCCGCCACGGGGTCTCCGACGACCACCCAGAGGGGCGGAAACGAGCCACCACGTCGAGGGAAGGGGCGTCAGACAGACATTAGTATGTCTGACGCCCCTTCCCCCGATGTGGTGCCTCACGCTCCCGGACGGGAGAACCCCCGACGTGGTGCCTCACGCTACCGGACGGGAGAATCCCCGACGTGGTGCCTCACGCTCCCGGACGGGAGAAAACACGCTCCCGGACGGGAGAAAACACGCTCCCGGATGGGAGAAAGGTCAACTAAAATACAACACTGGTGTCACATCAAACTGCGTGGTGTGCCCACCAAACTGCCTGGTGGGCACAGGAGCCCGTGTCGTGTGACACCAGACTCTCGTAGTGTACCCACCAGGCTGGTGTGCGGGTACACCAGCATTCCTGGTGGGCACACGTCACAAAATCCGGCTATGTTACATTATTCATGTCACAAAATCCGGCTGTGTTACGTTATCCATTCTCCCGGGCTGGACGCGTCCTTTCAAGAAATTCTCGGGGTGTGAGTGCCGGGACCCAGCTTCCACGAAAACGAAGCGATGCTGCCTTTGGGGGAGGATGAAGGGACGAGCGGGCCAGCGTCCAGGGGTTTGGTTTCTTTTTGTTTCGTTTTCCACGCCTGCGTGCTGAAATGCGGGGCCCGTCGAAGGGTGCTCTTCGGGGCAAAGGCGGGCAGTGTGAGCGGGAAACTCGGAAGCAACAGACGGAGAATCGTAAGGTCGAGTGCTTGGAGCTCAACGGTAGCGGCCCAGGTCCGGACTGGGGAAGACTTCGACGACGAAGTGTTTGTGTGTGTGATTGCGTGGCCGCTTCAGGCCGCCCAACCCACCGTGGTACCACCGGGACCACTCCTTCCCCCTTCGGACAGCGCCTCGGAAGACCGTCCCTCCCGGACACTGTGAGACGAGATTTCCCCTCCACTTGAATTTTTCTTTATAGTAATTAAGGTAGCTGTATTTCCGTAGTTGGTTTTTATTCTCACAGGTGTCCGATTGTATTATTCGATAACATGCAAGATCCGAAGTTGTTATTTTTTTCATGTTCGGGGAAGCTCCCGCGTAAGAGATGGTTAATGCATTGTAGAGAGCTGTTGACTTTGGGTTTTGCCCAATTCGTTGTGTGTTAAGTGATTTTATCTTCGCCGCCCGTGCATCGGCCGGGTGAAGTGCGCTCGAGTCCTGTTGTTTTCGCAGCTCGGCACTTGTTAACATTTTTTTTATTGTTTTGTTTGCAGTATTAAAATTTGTTTCGTTGAAAAACTGTGGTCTCCCGTTCATTGGCAAGAATCCACCGAGGCGTGGACATATCGCCTGGTGACAGTCCTTTATGTTTAAGCAAAGAATATCATCAAACCTGTGACAGCACACCAGCCTGGTGTGCTGACTGGTGCGGCACCAGGCCGGGTGAATCCTGTTGTGACAACAGGCTGGTGTCACACCAGGATTCTCTGATGTTACACCAGGATTGCCTGGTGCATTTTTCATTAGAGAATGTACCTGATCACGTCGCTGGTATCACCCAAACGGCTGCTTGAAGACGCAGTACGTTACTTAGTACGGTAGCCTGTCTTGATACCAGCGTTCATTTGCTGAGTATGCTTGGATGCGGTCTGTGCCACTAGTTGCTGTAGCACCAGTACTCAACTGTTCGATAAAAATCCCTCCAAGGCGAGGATCACGGAATGCGTTTACAACGAAGATGACGGCTCCATCAACAGCCGGAGACGCTCGAACCAAGAACAACCCATACCGCCGTGATAGCAACGGCGGAAGCACAATACGGCATCCAGGATCCATCGCAGACGTAGAAGTGAACATTGAAGACGAAGATCAAGCGTGAGAGGCAGCCAGAGCAAGCAAGCACTACCGAAATCACCGAAAAAAGTGATAGCAGGCAAGCTGTCAGCTGTACTGAGGGAGCGCGGGAAGGACGGATTACGGATTGGTTTCGTTACGTTGGCTAAAGCCAGAAAACATCTAGTTTTCGTCACAAACCGAACATATTTAAAATTAGTGTGCGCAACTTTCTATCCCGGTTTTCTGTTATATTTTGTTTTCCCAGCAGACAGCACAAAAGTAGTGTTTCGCCATGTTAAAATTGTTTATTAACGCAAACGTGCTCTATGGTCACGAGACGACTTTTCGACCGCAATCGCAATTAACATCACCTAAATGCCACAAAGAGGCGATTCGAAGATTGGTGGAAATTATCTAGAGAAGATTGAACGATACACAACTAACTAGCACAGCTGGGGACAGGCGAGACATAGAAAAATTGGCACTCCCTTCCGCGTGGCTCCGGTCCAAAGTCTCAACCCTGTCTCCTATTGGGTCCGGTGCTGGGCTAAGACCGGCAAGGTTTGACCGGAGGAAAATTGGCGACTCACTCGCTGGGGGGAAGAGGCGGGGGGGGGGGGGGGGGCATGTTTTTAGTTTTTCTGCCTAATCTCCCGAAGGTTATCTTGGTGATCTGAATGTCATTTGGCGTAAATGTAATTTTAGGTGCCTTCGGACAGGAATATCAGATTTCAAAATCTTCCCTATCCATCTCAGCGCCCTCATCATAACCGCTAAGCGCAGCCATATCTATAGTACGAAAAGAAAGCAAGCCACGAGACGACCGATGCCTCTTCATTAACACTTCCGATCTTCCAGCTTTTATGCTTTGAAGTCAGCGTAGTAGCGCGTTTGCAATGGCGGTAAAAACATACTTGATTGAACGCCATCTCCGCTCAATTCCGAAGATTTCGGGACTATGAGGGATGAAAGAAAAAACACCAATAGAAGGTACAACGTCAATTTCTTGGCAAAAAATGGGATATAATTTATGAAATTTTACTTTAAACATGAGGGTGATTCCATGAGAGATCGAACCAGCAGGACCTGCTGGTTCGATCTCTCATGGAATTTTTCAAAATATTTATTTTTTCTGCTTTTTTTTTTATTTGTGATGTACACACAAATGAATCGCACCAAACTGATCTTTTTGTCTCGAAAACGTGTGCGCCGGCAGATAAGGATATTAGCTCTTCTTATTCGTGAAGAAATATCTCGTTGGTTTCATCAGGTGTACCGGCAGATGAGGATAGGAGCACCTCCAGGCGCCCAAAGCAGTGCTGGCAGACCTGGTCTGTATCCTGCAAATTAGCAGATCCTGCTAGTATGCAGCATCCGCAGTAATTCAACGTCTACAAGCTTGACACTTTGAAAATTTCTGTTGGAAGATATCTTCTTCTTGTGAAGCAATCAAACCGCTACAGTGAAACCGCTACAGTGAACACTGTAGCGGTTTCCGGCTGGGAAACGTGGAAGTGAAAGTCATGAGCTACGCCGACGACGTAGCTGTATTTTGTAGTGACAAGAGGAGCGTGAGTGCTGCGGTGACTTTGGCCAATAGGTTTTGTGAGGCTACAGGGGCTGCCGTAAATTGGTCAAAGTGTCGAGGCTTTTGGCATGGGGCGTGGGCCACGACGCCTTCGGTGTACGAAGGTGTGGGTGGGACAGCGTACCGTGCACATACCTTGGCGTGCCTCTCAACTGTTACCGAAAGAACAAACAATATTGGTCGGGCGTCGCCACCGGCCACGACAGGCGCGCTTCTTGCTGGAAGAGGCGTGATCTGTCGATTTTTGCTAAAGCGACGGTTTGCAACGTGTTTCTGATTTTTAAAGTGTGGTATGTCCTGCCGGCCATTCATTGTGCGCGCGTAAATATACTGAAGTTGCATCGAGTTTTCGCGAAGTTCATCTGGAACTCGTGTTGGGACCCAATGAGACGTGAGAATTTGTTTCACCGTATACGTGATGGTGGGTTGGGGTTGTCGCATTTGTTTGTAAGGCAACTTGTGTCCCGTTTCGTCTTTTTGCGCGATCACGAACACCCATTAATACGTACATTTATCCAAGTAAAACTGGCGCCCCATCTTCCCTTCTTCCTTGTATCTTCGTGTGACTGCGAGCCAATGAGATGGTTGGCTTCCAGAAAGGAGTTGTCGACGCAGTCCTTTTTTTGAATGCGCTTTTTTCTTTAGATTACCTCTCTCTTGTAAGCAAGAAAACACTCAAGCGTGACTTGCTGATCAGTTTATTTCCCAACCCAATGTACCGTGCTGTTGTGTGTAATGCTGCCCAAGACGTTTTGAAGCGAGTGAAGCGCATGTGCATACCCCTGCGGCGAAAACTTTCTTTTTTTAAATTTCACAGCAACACTTTACCTGTGAAGGCGTGGCTAAGAGAAAAGGGGTTAGAAATTCCCTGGTCTGTTGACTGTCCTTTATGCAAAGAACAGGAGACCATTGAACATGTATTTATTTTCTGTTGGGACGCTTTATTTTTTTGGGGATGTACTCCAACGTAGGCTAAAGAAACAGTTTTCCATTAGCCCATTGGGCATACGTTTTTTGGACGTGAGGAACGATGACAATGTACCGCATGACATGTTTTTTCTTCTGGGACTTTTCAGCATATGGTAATCGCGTATGGCAGTGAGGCATGCGGACCCAACTGCGAAGGAAGTTCGGTTTTATTTTTTCAACCTCGTGAAGCGTGTTGAGAGCGTTTTTTTCGGCCTGCGAGCCCAAGCCCGAGTGGCTGAGCGTGCGTGGCCCTCTTCTCGAGATGCGAGAATTTTAATGTGCGCTGCCAAGTGTGCTGCAATGCATTTTTATTTGGAATTTGTACCAGCTGCTTTCTTGCAATAAAGATTAAAAAAATGGAGTGTAGCGTGGTGGATAAGACGTCTGCCTCGTAAGCAAGCAGTCCTGAGTTCGAGCCCCCATGCAAAGGTTTTTTTTTTTTTTTTTTTTTTTTTTTTAAATAGGTTGATTTTTGAGGCGGTGCAATTGATGTGAGCACGGACGCCGGACGGACGCACAAGGCTAGACCCGAAGGAGCTTTGCTCCTAGAAAAATGTTGAGTGGACCTGCTGGTTCGATCTCTCGTGGAACCACCCATCATGAGCAGAACCCGAAACGGAAACTTCGGCTCAGTCTTGCAACATTTGGGCAGGGCGGGATTAGGCTAGGCGGCGCAAGCTACCGCGACCTACAAAAGTAACATCCATCCATCCATCCGTTGCGGGCAACTGTTGGAGCGGGCGTGTGCGGAGCGCCAGTGTCGTCTGCATCCGAGACAACTTTCGATGTCTAGAATATCCGGCGACGTCTGCACAAATGCGGCGTGGTCTTTCAAAGTAATGCCGAAGAAGACTGGACTGTTTTTGTTTAAAAACAAAAATGAGCCGGTGTTGCTTTTTAATGTAAACCATAATTGTAACAGACATACAACTTCCGACGTCTCCAAATTTAAAAAAAAAGTGTCTCCGCCTATTACGTCACCGAAAAAACAAAGAAAATTATTTCGAATTTTGTTTCACGATGAATATTTTAGGGGTCATATCTCGTGGTCCAGAAACGTTACAGACGCTAAAAAAGGTATCGATGTCGGGGTGCCAGTGTCCCTTTAAATTCGAATAGATTTAGATAAAGCACCTTATTTCGTTTCGTGCAAGCCAGTCCTCTCCTAGAATATAATTGTACAGACAAAGAAACTGCCATGCTTAGCCAGACGATTGAGTTTGGAGGCTTTTTTTTTTCTTTTTGCCAGCCTTGACGATGTCACCTGAAATTTTATTACAGATTCTGTCGCAGATGCTAAGAAACATTTTGTTTGCTCTTCCCGACAGGCAACGAGATTCCTTTAGGTTTCACCCTAAGACGTCCATCGTCCATCGTGATGACGTGTGCCGCTTGTTTTAGCCTGATGATTTTGAACCAATTGTAATTGGTATTCGTCGTCTGGTCGAGTTGTTTCTCCTTGATGTTGTTGATGTGTATTTTATTGCTCCGCACGGTCTGGCTCACTTGATGGCATCGTTTGTTGCGGAGGTTGGGGGAAGATGGAGGGTTGGTTCGGTTAACAATAATTAGATTATCCCCCAATCTCGCAGTCGGTTTCCGATGGTCACATGCACGTGATGTTTTGATGGCGTCGTCCCGAACCACGAGTGTTTCCTCGGGCGATCCCTCCACAGTTATTGAGATTACGGCCACCGATCATCTTAGGCCTTGGCGTCGTCGCTCACACTGGTTGAGGTGGCCGGGGCGTTCGTACGCTGCAAGAACACGTTGACCTGATATTTGATCTCTTTGCGCAGGTATTCGATCATTTTCATCGATTCGTCGCGTTTCTGCTCGTCGTCGCCACTCTTCTTCAATTGGTTCAACAGGTATTCCAGCCTCCAACGCAAGGCAAACATCAGCACAGCGAGTCCCATAGTTCGATCAGCCAGGGTAACTTGAGGTCCTGGATAGGCGAGAGTAGGGAGGGAAAAAAGAAAAGCATGCGTTAGTGGGTCAACGATGGAAGCGATTCCATATACACTCCGTTTCACTTCAAGTTCGCTGCCGCAGCCACTGCTGCCATCTAATGGAACGGACGGAGCGGTGTCAAAAGTGCATAGTCACGGCGTATATCGTCCCCTGTACGTTTGCCGTCACCGACTTAAACAATCACGCGCAATGAAGGTGCCGCCGTGATCCGGCGCTTTTCCTGTGCTTTATAGCCGGTGACAGGAAACCAAGGAATAAAAGAGCACCGAGACGATGCATTGCTGGGACTGGTTGATTGGCGCCATCGCGTTGTAGCCTTGGGCGTGGTAGGACTCAAAGAATGAAACGGGGTTACCGAAAATGTAGGTCGTGTTCAGTACCGCGGATCCTGTAATTGGTTTGAGCCAATCACATTGCGTCAGTGGCCGATGAGCACGTCGAAGAATCGATCAATAGACAAGATGCTCGAAGACACTAAGCCACACCCTTTGTTTCTTAAGGTGACTGCTACTGTAGGAGAACTTACTGGGCGCAGCGAGGGCCAGGACGGAGAAGGCCATGATAGTCGGAAGCCGCCGCATCTGCGAATTGAAAAGAGATTTTTCGGTTCATAAATTGACCTAAGGAAAACAGGTATTGGCTAGAGATCGGTGTCCGCTTTATGACGGGGCTTGACAAAAGGTTCCAACGGCCCAAACGGCTGTACATCGCCATACAGAAAATGACGTATACATGTACTTTTTGTGATCTGTGCAACATTTTTAATGTGAAACAATTGACTATCCTATGGAGCGGAGCCGGCGGCGTCTGTAACCGCGAAAGAGATACTCATTGTCCCATTGGCTGAGCGAAACGGCTCCTAGATAGCCATTGGCGGCCGCTTCACGAGAGCGCGCGCTCGGCCGCCGCTCTTGTGTCGGGCGTTGCCGCAGCGGGGGGGAGGGGGGGGGGGGGGAGGGGGCTGTGGCCACTTCACGAGAGCGCGCGCTCGGCTGTCGCTCTCATGTCGGGCGTTGCCGGAGCGGGGGGGGGGGGGGGGGGAGGGGGAGGGGGGCTGCGGCCACTTCACGAGAGCGCGCGCTCGGCCGTCGCTCTCATGTCGGGCGTCGCCGGAGCGGGAGGGGGGGGGGGGGGAGGGGAGAAGGAGGGGGCTGCGGCCACTTTACGAGAGCGCGCGCTCGGCCGTCGCTCTCATGTCGGGCGTCGCCGGAGCGGGGGGGGGGGGGGAGGGGGGAGGGGGCTGCGGCCACTTCACAAGAGCGCGCGCTCGGCCGTCGCTCTCATGTCGGGGGAGGGGGGGGGGGAGGGGGAGGGGGCTGCGGCCACTTTACGAGAGCGCGCGCACGGCCACCTCCCTCGTGTCAGGTGTTGCCGAAGGAAGAAGTGGGAGGGGGGGGGGCGCTGCCCTCTCTGCGCCGAGGAACATGGCGGCGCCCGATGCACCTATATCGTCGGCGGCCGCAACCTCGGCCGTAGCGGAAGTTGACCGTCCACGACAGTACACCGCGGACGAACTAAGGGAGCGGAAGAACGACATTCACGCTTTCGCATTCATAACTGGTAAGTGCTTAGGTGTTCTTGGAATTATCTGTTTTTTTCATCACCGTATTTTCAGCTTTTTGAAGTCCACAAAGTGGGGTTTATATTATCTTTTATCTTTAATATTGACTTGAGTATATTTGGTACAGATAGTAGGAATGCCACGTGACCACGGAAAAGAGAGTAAGCGCGAGTGAAACCGGACAATTCTCGACCGGCCGTGTTTGGTCGGAAAAAGCAAAAAAGAAAACGAATTTCGAGCCGCAAACTGTGTTTTGGGTAGATGGGCTCTTGTAAGTCACGTTCAAATGAAAACCTCGGCGAGCATAAATATACTGTCAGTGTACCCTTAAACGAGTTATAATTAAAAGGGTCATGAAATACATTTTGGGCGGGGATAAATGACTTTAGAATTGGCTACCTAATATCATGTCGTGTAGTGGGTAAAAAAAAGAGGGTAGAAAGTCAAAAGCCAGCTTTTCGGTAAAAACAGTTTAACATATGGCGAACTATTCGTACCCCTTTTCCTTCGAAAGCTCCCCGCCTTTTCACTTTGATACCTCCGCGGTACCAAAGACACGTCAGCGGTACATACATTACGCATAGTACAAGCATCAGGTGAACATACATTGAGCACATACACATACATGTCACATACAAACATCAATACAGCGGCACACCACACTAGCCCGAACACTACACCCGTGCTCTGCGTTTCCGTCTTTTATACTGGTCGTTTTGAACGTGCACGACTTTTTCGGTGGCTGAATAAGCAATAAAAAATATTACCAGCATGTCGATTTTTTTCCAGCAATGCCATACCTCTGAGAGTATTGTGAATGGCTCAGGGGATGAATCTCCTATTAAAAAGCAAACGCTCGATCACACCGTAATTATTTGAAAGCAATAAATCAAGCCGCTCCAATGTGGTTCGAGGCCATGAGTTTGTTTCCCCGCACGGCACGTCGTAGCCTGTATTTCTATTGTAGTGTTTGTTTTTCTATTCGTGCTGTTCGCGCAAAGCTGCAATTGCTGTCTTTAATTAATTTCTGTAGAGCGGATATTCACTTAGCTGGAAGTGATGCTTCACGGGCTGAGAAATCGCTTTTCGATCAACTTGAATGCAGTCAAAGCCGCGACTTGCGGCAGGTGTTAAGTGTACGGAGCTACGCCGTGGCGAGCCCGAAAACTTCTAGCGCTCATCTCAGCGCGCCACTTGGAGGGCAGTTTCTCCAGGAACCGTAGTATATTTAAACAGCAAAATAAAGGGAGCTTCTTTTTTTTCGATTTTACCTACTATTGTTTTCAATGCTAAAATTTCACACAGTAAATATACGTACTTTCCGTCACGATTTCGTACTGTTGTCCTTTTCCCAGAGCGCAATCACTCTCGGGCACAAGAAAACCGACAGCCATATTGGCCACTGTACGATAGGAGCTTACTGTTCAGACCAGCGTTCCAACATGACTATCCGGGCGTCGATCCATTGCACCTAATCCCTCAAGTGGTATTAAACTCTTTAATGTAAAGCGGAATGTCAACCTGCGACAGCCCGCCCCCTCCGATCACGGCCCGACCAGTGGCATCAATGCCCGACGGTTTACGAACTCATCTTGTTGTTACACCACTGATACGCGAACACATGGTCACATCGGCGATAATTCCAGTCTACTGTTCACAACCCACAACAATGCCATCACGATGTTGCTGCTATGTTGCTGACACGCACAAATACACAACCACGTTGAACGCCGGTTGCACCCGGCATCGGAAAACAGAACCGAACTCAGCACGGAAGGCACAGGCAGCCGGCAGCAAAACCTGCCTGTCTTGGACGCAGTTCCTGCGATTTCCATAACGTCAAAAACGTCGACATTGTTCCGCGTGGTTTCGCTACTGTAGTTCCGTGCCGCGTGAGTCCCGCAATCTGGAGACGGCCATCTTACCCAGTGTACGTGGCGCTGCTGGCACTGCTCCGGAACTTTGCTGTTTCTAGCGGCTTCGTTTGCTCGTTTGATAAAATTAGTGATAAAAACGTCAATGCAACCGAAATGTTCTGCACGTTTAGACTAGAAGACGGAATTACAGGCGGCCTTCGCTGCCGCTGAAGCTCAATCAACTCAACAGCTATTTATTAAACAACGTGCGCGACCTGCTCGAAAAACAAAACGAAAGAAGACGAGTCGGGAGGGTAAAAGCTTTCTCCCGTCTGCCTGGAGAAGGAGAAAAACGTTTCTTTCCTCCCCTTTTCTCGTGTCCGCTTGGGGGCGCGTGAGTAGAAGGGAGAAAGACGCGCCGTTGCTACTTTTTTTTCCATTTTTTCTTAGAGTGCACCGATGGCCTAGCATGCCACGACCACGTGATTTTTCAGTTCGCTCTAGAGTTGAAAATTACAGCTAAGGAAGAAGTAGTAAAAAAGTCGTTTCATGGCCCCTTTAATTTACCTGTGCACCACTGCTTTTTTGCCCTTCCGTATTTTGTAACCACTCCTACAGTAGCTCCTCGAACGGAGCTGGTAGTATTTCCAAACACATAAATAATAGATAAATTACACTTATATTCACGTTTGGCGTGGGCTAACAATTGTAATGTAGCGTATGACACGGTATGAATGAGTTGGCCACTTTGAAACGTGGTTTCAGGGAGCGACGACAGCTCGCGCGCTATACGGGAGGCAATTGAATCTAAGGGCTTCGTTGATGCATTGGAACGCGAATGAGGGCCACGCGCATCAGAAAGTCATCGTAAAAAATGCGCAGGAAACGTGCGATGACGAAGCAGTCGAGCATGCGCCATCACTGCTCGAGTTCGGGGAGAACTAAAAGCAAACGAGCTTTCTGGAGGGTAAACGAAACGTACGATGTCCGCAAACTTGGACGCCCCGCCGTATATATCATATCAGCTCCTATCACTTAAGAGTGGTGTCACACGTGCGGCGCCTGACCTTGCACAGAGGTGAGCTTCTGCACATTCGCGTAACGCCTTCCACATCGTAGACTATAGGATGGCAAAGCGTGGAAGGCGATCATTGAAATGGTCTCTATACCTCGCCTTATACAGGACTTGGTTATCGCTGAAAGCTACGGCCCTAGTGAGCCAATCCGATTAGCTCTCGACAGCTGGCATCGAATATTTTGAGCACCATGATTGCTGAAGGGCTACCGCGCATTGGTTTTAGCAGAGGAACATCTTTGAATACAGAAAATGTTTTTCGTTAGATAGTCTACACGTGGACAGGACGTGCTAGGTATTTACTTCGTCCATCTAATATTGTCACGAATGTCAAGTGACAAGGCGGCGAATGACTGAGTAAACTGAACGTTTAATGGCGCGAACTTGTGCCCAGAAATACAAGGAAAAAGAAAGATAACAACAGAGCGTCGCGGGCGTCGAAGGCGGCGAAGCAGCGGGATCGAACGCTGAGGCGAAACTGACTCCGGTTCGCCACGCGGAGCCCCTTATGCACATGCGTAAGCTTCTGAAATTATCGGCGTAGAATGTTTGACGCGTAGAACATTCGGACCTCAAACAAGGATTCTCGAATTTACCAGAAAACTAAATTGCAGGAATAACAAAAGATGCGTCGCTCCCAGGAATCGAACTCTGGCTTTTCGCGTGGGACACGCACGATAGCCGTTAGGCCACGCGCGAGCTGCCTTCTTGGCCAGCTGCGAGCGCGGCATTACTCCCCCCTTTTAAAGAGGGCATCGCCCCGATGCAACACAAAACAAAGCAAATAAAAATAACGGTAAAAGTCATTTGAAACACATAAGGTCCACAGTCCTATCGAGCGTAGTATGGCTTTAGGCGCACGACGTGGACGACTTCAGGTCGTGGTGGGCGGCGTGATGATGTTCTTGTTCCGTCGGGCATAGTAGACCCGTTGCTCTGGGGCAGGGGGCGCGAGCGCTCCCGCAAGACCCGACCATGTTATGATGGCTAAACCACCCAGGTGGCTCTGTAACGTTCCATTTTGCACGTGCCACGTTCGAATGCAAGCATCTGAAGATGCGCGATAACAAAGCCTCTAAAGAAATAAAA